CTACTACTACTACTACTACTGCAACTCCCATTACTACCACTACTTCTACTGCTACTTCTTCTACTACTACTACTACTACTACTACCAACAATAATAACAATAATCATAATGCTGTTGCTGCTATTTCTAGTACTAATACTGGTACCAGTACTAGTACTAGTACCAGTACTACTAGTACTACTAGAGCCTGGTCAGTGGTGGTAGTAGCAATAATAGTAGCAATAGTGACTCGTGGTAGTGGTAGCTGTAGTGGTAGTGGTAGTATTGCTTGCGTCGTCTTCATAGTCGTCGTTTTGAGTCACGGGAGTCAACTGTATCTGAACACCTACAGGAAAGATGTTGATAGCTACACCGTAGAGAACTAACATGCGCATGGCAACCGTGTGCCCCTTCAACAAGACAACCAGGTACAGAGTCGCTCACGACGGCTACGAGGCGTGGAATGGCGCGCAGACACCTGCGTGGGGATTGATCATTTTTTCAGGTTTAGTATTTTGCTCATCTGGTATGTGTCACACGATTTGGTTCGTGCTGTCACTGTCACGATGCTGTTGATGATCATGACGATGAGGAGAGTGGCGATGCTGACGTTGACGGTTCTATTGTGGCTGCTGTTGGTGAGCATGGTTGATGTTGATGAATTTGGCTGGCGATGCTGATTGGAGGCACTTCTGGCCAGACTTGACAAACACTGACAGGGTGACATGGTGGTGGGTAAATGGCAAAGAACAAGTCTCTAATGGTGCCCCGCACGCACTTCTTCAGGTTGACGCACGATGCATCCGGGACTCGATCATCTAGAGCATAGATGTTCCAAGCTTAGGAATGAAATACAAACTTTTTGCTAGGGACAAAGGGGTCTGGACTGAAAAAATAACTGTTCCTAGGACAAACTTGGTTTTGCGCCGAAATTCCAACCTTTTCCTCGGAAAAAGGTGGTTTTGGACCGAAAAACCAATTTGTTTCCTAGGAAAAAGATGGTTTTGGGCAGACAACATAGGAAAAGCAAAAAGTATCTTTTTGTGAAACTACACGGCCAAAGTCCAAAAAGATAGTTTTTTTGGGCTTTTCCTAGGGAAAAGTTGGTTCTGGGCGGAAAAGCCAACTGTTTCCAAGGAAAAAGATTGTTATGCGCCAGAAAACCAAATTTTCTTACAAAAACACCGAAGCAATCTTTTTGCAGTCTGGCCGTATAGTTTTTTAAAAGATGTTTTTTGCTTTTTGTCTTGCCTCGGAAAAGGTTGGGGTTTTGATTGGAAGAGTACATCATTGCCGTTGAGTGCGTGCTCACATCGAACCTGAACGAGTTGCCTGGTGCGTTCTCTTGAAATGTGGGTTTGGTTTTGGCAGTCTTTGAGAGATACGGAATCCGGACCTGCGGGAAAAGTTGGTTTGGCGCAGTATTCACGATACAAACCAAGGGTTGGTAGTTCATAGGGGGATATACATATATGAGAACATATATATATATATATATGCTTGAACAAATAAATGCATACATCGATAAGCAACTAACTAACTAGCTAGCTAGCTAGCTAACTAGCTAAATAAATAAGTACATACATAAATAGATATATATATATATATATGTGCATTTACGTAGTATGTATGTATGTATGTATGGATGTATGTATGTATGTATGTATGTATGTATGTTCTGTATTTCACTCCGGCATGCAAACGTGCTTTTACCAGGAGAAGATGCGGGAAATCCGGCGACAGCAAGTGCTCGGCATGGGGTTTGCCGGGAAGGCCATGGCACATGGCTTAGCAGTGCGGATTGGGGGCACACCACGCTTTGAATGTCTGGCTCCCTGGTATGAAACAGGAGCCGGTGGCATTGGCCGTGTCTCGAGCCATTGGCGACCGTGACTTCAAGGTGCGCCTGCGGACTGGGACTTTGTTTCAGGCGGTTCAGAAGGTCTTCTGAAGCTCTCAGGGCTGCATGGGGAGGGTAGAGATGGCTGCAGCGAAAATAGCCCCCGACTTCTCAGGATTGCCTAGCACCATAACTTAACCATAACCACAGGAACTCCAGGCCCCACATGGACTACGGTTGATGATACAAATCCTGCATTACCCATAGTAAGGAGTATACCACAATTCCCATAGTTTAGGGCCCTAAAGGTAATGCAGGATTTATATCATCAACAGTATGTCTCTTGTTTTGGCTTGCTGCAGGACCTTGGGTCGGAATGCCTCCAGGGGTGCTAGCAGCCAGATGCAGTCGAAGAAACTCTAATAATTTTTTGTGCCGTTTGGATTTCCATCGAAGTGGGCTCCAGAAAGCAAAAGTGAGGGTTGAGAGCACATTGAGGCCACTCGAAACATGAAAGGCTTCCGTGCGCTCACGACAGGCAGTGACGGGCAAGGGGCTCCTGGTAGCCACGCCCGACGTCAGATGTGTTGAGCTGGATAGGACTGCGGCATAGGGAAAGGGACGGAAGGCCATGCTTCGGAAGATCGAAACTCTGTGTTTGTTTGAGCCCACCTGCTTCAGGACACACATGTTCATGGCGCTGATGTGCGATGGCATCACAGACGTCATGCAAGACGATGAGGCGCGTAGCTGGTGCCAAGTTGTGGAGTCCGTGCACCTTGCCGCTTGGTGTCAGATCTGCGCAGAGCTGGAGATGCGCAGACCGGGCCCTCCCGATCCGGTGAAGCGTCCTGGCCCTGGGACGTCCGCTTGGGTGCACCTTTGAGATATCACGTGTCACTCAGGCTGTCGAATAGCGTGCGGCGCACTGGTGCAGGAAGCCTACAAACGTGGCAGTGAGGAGCGCTAGCTTTCAACAGGCTCCAGAGGTGCGACATGCCCAGCTTTGCGAAAGCTTGCCTTCAGGACAACCTGACGGTCATCTTCGTGCGATTCCAGTGGCAAGGCCTCGCATGCAGCAGCACATAGTAGGGTAACCTCCAAGCATCGACGACCGCACTGACATCCAGTGTTCTGACAGCGCTTCTTCACAGCAGACTCTCAAGTCTGAGTGCATGTGTTTGAGCTTTGCTTCCTCCTTTTGTGTTGCACATTTCAATGCAAGACTGGTGCAACACAGGTGGTTACGAAGAGGCACGCCTTTCTTCGGCTTGTGTTGAATCAGAGAAGCCCGGGAGGTGCTGCCAGGACATGTGCACATCTCCCATGTGGAGCGTGATCTGGCCCCCTTGGTCAGGGCTGTAAAGAACTGCTGGTTTGCATCTTGCGTCGACGCAAGACCCAGCAACAGCAAACCTGAGACAGCCTTCTAGCCTGAAGGCACCGCTGCCCGCGGACCACCCGTTGGCCAAGGCCATGATCGAGGCCGCTTCCAAAGGCCACCGATCGCGGCATGCGAGAGAGTCCCCAAGGCACCTTATGCTGCGGGCGTCCATTGAGTAGGGGAGGTGGCTTAATCCCGCACCCACGGCGACCGCAGGGTGAGCCACCAGTGTTGGGTCACACCGCTTCACGATGTGCAGGCGTGTCAGCCGCTGCCGCCTCCAAAAAGAGGCCTTTCATTCTTCGCCATGTGCAGCGCTTGATAGAATGTATGTCAACGTAAATGTCTGTCGGCTGCGGTCGAGCACAGTTGTCAGTTGCAGTCATGCGGGTGCATATAGAACTTCTTGCCATACAGCCTTTTCAGCATAGGCACTGGCTCGCCTGTTCCCCGTGACCGGAATGCTCATCCTGTCAAGAGCAGGTTGTTTTTTCCCATAGGACTGCTTGGTGTGTTACATAAAGGATAATGTCCTGACAGCGTTGCCGCCAGTAGTTGAGATGGATGGGCTCTCACGTCCCGTCCCTCCCTCCCTTCTCCCTTCTCCCTTCTCCCTTCTCCCTTCTCCCCTCCCTCCGGCACAGAACTGGTCTGGATTTTGCATGTCTTCTGACAGCAGAAGCCCTGCGTGAGGCGTCAAGAAGCCGCTGCGTCTGTGAAGCGGCAGAAGGTAGATGCCTACGAGCTCCCCAATTGCAGACAGAATGGGCGAACGGGAAGCGGAAGAGTGCCCGAAACTGATGAGACAGCCCTCCAAGGCGCGCCATCGCGCAGCAAAGCCGAGAGGCAGGTAACAGCAGCTGCTGCAGTTTTCTTGGAAAGAGGGGAGGATGATGGCCGCTTATGCACGGTTCAGGATCTGCAACATCGGCTCAATCACCCTGCAACAACTTTGGGGGCACCAGCATGAGCTAGCAAACAAGTTGTGGTCCCGATTCTCAAAATATGACCACCAGAGCCCGGCAAGATGCAAAAGCAGCTCATGCAAGCACCGTTTAGCGCAATCAGATTCAGGAATTTAGGAGAACTGCCGTGTTTCCATAAGGCCCTGGCACTGAGCACCTTGCAGCTTCCGTGAGCCTGACAGTGGAAATTGAGGACAACAGACCTTGCAAGGGACCCAGTAGCCATGAAGCTGCCACGCTCGCTTACGGACCCGCTCAGGGCTTGCAAGGTGGTGTAGCTGAGACAACACAAACTGCATGACTCGCCCTGAGACAGTCGGAGATTCAGTGGATCCAAACGGGCGCTCGGGATGGACCACCCCTAGCAGTGTTGTTTCGGAGCGAGGAGCGGCTCAAATGGGCCGGGCCATATCGAATCGCCGCCGTCTCTGCGATTGGCCTAAGTTTGGATTATGCGCAACTCTGTCGTTTGTCTTTGGTTGCCGCAATGTGTGTTTGCCTATCTGAGTTATTCACCGTCTGTGCCGGGAAGTGGTTTTGGGAGCCGTGGCAGCATTGCGAGGAGAGATGCAAAGCACAGTCTTCTCTGTTGCTTCGGTCGGTAGCGACGCTCTGGAGAAACTTGCCGGTGCTTCGTGGGAGTCGCGGCGAACAGGAGTCAGGGCATGCGGCTTTGTAGCCAAGAAAGCAAAACTCTGCACAACGTAGGGATCTCGAAGATTGAACACGTCGCTGATTTTTTATAGATTGCGGTTGCGACAGCTCATTCAGCACAAATTGGCACTGTCACAGTGCTCTACTTTGGATTTTGCATTATGCATCCCAGCCGAACTTGCTGAGTAGCATCTCTATAACTTATGTCATGCTCCCTGTTCGTAGGAACCCCCGGGGATCCCCGGGGCTACAGCCTGCACCACCAACATCGTCATGATTGCCATTGCTCTTTCCGTGTGGAGTCATCCGCTTTCGAAACCCGCGCCAAGTGAGACTTCACAGACACCGAAAGTCGATTGTGGCACGTCTTCGCCGGACCGCGGGCGCAGCTGCCAGCGGGCCATGTCACACCCACCGACCGAACTCGTGCCAAGCATCAACCCCCTTCCCTCAACACAGAGCTCTTGTGCGAGCGCTTGTCACTTGTCGTTGTGGTTCGAGAAAGCCACAGCTGAGAGACCCTTTTTGGGACTCCGGGCATCTCCGGGCCCATGGATTCTGGTTTCTGCCCAAGGATAGCGGCTTCTACATCTACGATATCTTCGGCAGCAAGTTGACGCTGGACCTTGGGCTGCTCCAGACTTCGGCTCTTCTGACATGCGCAGCTGGGGTTTGCAGGAGACCAGGAGACTGCGCTTTGACCCAGAGCGTGCTCCAGTTGTTCGTGAGCGAAGGCTTGGGCCAGGGGTGGCCGGGCTCCGCTCAGGATTCGTAGCAGTTCTGAATCCTTTCCAAGTGGCCATGCGGCTTCTGTCGCGCCTCTTGGCATACAATTTCCTTCCTTGCCCTGCAGGGAGTGATCACGTGCATCACTCGTGCATCGCTGTCGCCTTCTGGACTTCGCCTTCTCGAGCCCCTGATGCTGCGCGGAGGGCGTGCTCTGCGACGTTTCGAGGGAGCCACCCGAGCCGAGGGCCACCAGAAACCCGTTGGCTGCGCCGGTCGAAGCTCAAAGCGACGGAAGCTGTCTGCAGCGCTCGTGAAATGGAGAGACTGCACACCGTTGCATAGGCTTGCATCTGCAAATAAGAGACTTGACTCATCTTACGTGGCCGACTAGCGTTGCCAGCATGGTGCTGGGTGAAGTCTTTCGTTGACCTCGCAGATCCGAGTTCGTCGCAGAGTTGTAGCAGAGTCCTCAATCCCTTGCCTGCACAGGCTTCCGAAGCAAACGGTGCCAAGGCCAAGGAGGAAGCCAAGGCAGGATCATCCTTCAGCGCAGGGCCAGCCAGCGGAGTTCATATGCTGCTCTCCCCGGCATCCCAGATGTTGCCAGGCCGCGGAAGCGACACCAGCGCCCGACAAGGAGGAGAAGCAAGAGAAGCAAGAGAAGGATGCAAAGGCCGCAGAAGAAGACGAGGACGAAGGCGCGTGAGCAGTTGTGCAGTTTTGCAATTTCGCTGCGAATGCAGTGTGCTCCGCGTGCTGCGAAGGTTTGACCTTCTTGTGAGCGTGGCTGAGCCTGGTGAAAACGAAGGGCCGCATCGCCCTGTGGAAAAGGAGCTCGCCATTGCTGTGCTGACCGGACCTGGCGTAGGGACCGCAGGACGCCCCGACGCCTAGCAGCAGCAAGCAGGCCAGCAGCAAAGGCAGCAGCAGCACTGCCACTACCACCATTATCCTCATGATGATGATGATGATGATGATGATGATGACCATCATCATCATCACGGTTATCATCTTTATCGTCCTGTCATTAGCAACCGATCGCTGCTGCCATCAGCTGTTCAGACTTGTTGTGTCTGTAGTGCTTGCCCGAAAGGTGCAATTGCCCCAGGCCTGCATCAGTCACCTCATGAGGCAGTCGTTGTGTGTAGCCTCTCGGCGCCTGCTCGTTAATCGGCCAATGGCGAGATTGATTTATGCCCACCTGCAGCCGTGTCGCCCGGACAGGCCTTGAAACCCTGATTGCGGGCACATGGCTCTTCAAGAGGCCGGGTAAAGGAATTCGACGGTGGAGCCAGTGGTCGCGGTAGAAGGCTTTGGCGCCTGGACTGGATGGTTTGCGCCCAAATTGACTTCACTCCGTCTCCCCGGCCAGGCCATGCAGATGTACAGGCACACCTTGAGAGCTTCCCGGGCCTTCACGGCAGAGAGCTCAGTTCCAGGAAAAGCGGTAGGCCACGGGTTCTGCATGATAGCCTGTCCAGGATTACAATTTTCGACACTATTTCGCGAGACGGGCACGAGAAGACTTCCGTGCACCGCACCAAGACGGTTTCGACTCTTGCCTTTCACAGGTTTCGTGGTCTGTTGTCTGCTCCGAGCTGAGGCTCTGTTTGGTAGCAGCCCCAGCCTGTGTCCCAGCTACGGGGCAGAGCAAAACGGCAAGCCACGCGTCAACCCAGGCCGGCAGAGCCAGGCGGACGAGCCCCGGCGACAGGCCATTGGAGTAGCTTCAAGTTCGCCGAAGCGGGCAAGACGTCTCGCTGTCACGCTGTTGCATCTAGCCAATGTAGTCGGGATATCAGCAATTTGACCGTCCTTTCGTTGTTGCAACGGGGTCCAGGCGTTTCTGGAACAAGCCAAGACCAATTTGGAGATGCTGAAGAGGCAAAGTGTGATTAGCCAAATGCAAGAGTCTCAGCATTGCCAGAAAGGCTGCTGCAGTGAATGCCCAGCCCAGTTTCTGAGGTACACTGCAACACCCCCGACAACCCAGAGATGATGCCCTGCTTTCCGGCAGGTCTTCTTTGCCGTTGCTTTTTTCCGCTTGTAGCCTGCCGTCACAAAAGTTCACGAGCGACAAGTATAGATAAAATAGTCTCTATCAGACCCAGTGTCAGTGCGCGACGAGCCATGGAGGAGCATTGGTTGGAACGCAGCACCGCAAGTGATCCCTGTCAGGATGAGCCTTCAGCAGCGGTGGCAGCTGAGTGTGACGGTCATGTCATATGCTGGCCAGTAGCAGCAGTTTCCCACAAACTTCGGGAAACAAGCCGTAAGTGCTACAAATGAAATGTGTAGATTTTCGGTTTCAGCGCATGATATCCATGTAATCTACTTTGCCATTCGGTTCACACGAATCCCTGCTTACCTTCGTCGTGTCGCAAAGCTACCTGTTTTGACCAAGGTCCCTGACCCCTCCGACTCGCGTAGATAGAAGAGTTGTGCCATTGTCTTTTCACGGAGGGACCAGGAGCCGCGTGGCAGAGATCTCCAGAAGTGTTTAGGTGAGACCACTAAAATCTCAGCACAGAGTGAAGAGCAAGTGATGCTCACAACTGGAGAACCGGAAGTTAGAGCCCGCCTAGTCCAGACTTGCAAAGACCACGAGGTAGCTGGGTTAGCAGTTGAGCGGGCCACGGGCAACCAGTCCTCCAGGCAGACACATCGCTGTGCAAACACGCGGGTCTCGCATCGAACGAAAAAGCGACTGGGACTGGGAGATCGCAGATGCCTGCTAAGCATCTCCCCATCACAATACCTCTACTCACCTCTACTCATGTCCTTCTGTCGTAGATGTCGATCGACAGAGGCAGCTCAGGCTCACCTTGCGGCAGGTCCCTCTTACTAGGTCTCTTGATCCGCAGGTGACGCTTAGCTATACACTCCGTCCACAACCTCTACACAAGAATCATGATAGTTTATCCTAGACCCTTAAAACCTAAAAAAGCACAAGCTCCCATCAAGCCCCCTATATCTCTGCTAGACCTATGGAGGGCTAGACCCTAAAATCCCTAACCAGACCTCTATGGAGGGCTAGACCCTAAAACCCCCCAGCCCAGTTGGCGCAGAAGAGGGCCCAGGGGTGTTATACGGGCTGAAGCGGTTTCATGATGAATTTTGCACACACCGTGTGGTAGACACTGTGGGGCACATCCTCCTCAATCCCACTAGTTCATGAAGGGAAGTGCCGCGGCCAAGCCTGTGAAGCGCTTCGGTAGATGCGGGGCTGCAGTTTGGTCCTGGTAGTCGGTAAGTGGTCTCCTGGTGGTCTTGTTGTGCTCGCGGTCGTCATGGTGGACCTGTTGGTCCTGGTCCTGGTGGTCGTGGTCGTGATCGTCGTGGTTGTCATGGTCGTCGCTGTGCTCCGCCACTGTTAGCGAGGGCTTCTGCTGCACATTAGGTACCCTGCTGGCAACACCATCGCAGGTTATCCTATTGAGATATTGGTAATCCTGGATCTCGATAGAATCGTGAGAGTATACTACTAATACACTATGCTATATATCTCTAACCTCTTCAGAAAATAAAGAATATTAGTACCGGCCGACGAATATTTTTATAACTGTCTGAGCGTCTTTATCTACGACCCACCCACTATCTTAATTGATTCTCTCTCTATCTCTATACGCACTTCAATTATCGTTTCCCTACTATTTCTCTCTTCCTCTTCTCCCATAGTTCCACTTGTATTACTCACTAATCTCGCTCCTCTATAATAAACAATCCGATTTCCATCATTAAGCGAGCTTATTTCATTAACTGAATCCTTAAATAAATTGCGCCGTATCTATCATATTCTAAAATTTCTCAGAATATCTTTTCCCAACACATCACATACCTTATTAAGATAATTATTCCTTTTTTTGACTTACGACCCGAGGCTTTCTCTATACTAATAAATACCATATTAAATAATAACGACACCTCCTATAAATTATTCGATATTTATATCAATGAGTTTTTCACTACTCTATTTATATTTTCGAATATTTTAATAGCTTAGACGTGATCTATGGTTGAATCTCCACCAAACACAGGCACTATCGATTTTTATATATTGGATGCATTCATAATAGTATATATATCAGAGAAAATATTTTCAATATATAAAGATTCAGAAAATTATTCTAGATATTATTATAGACGCCGAGAAAAATTTATGCAAATTTAGAGATATATATGGTCTGGCGTTCCCCGGGAGGGATGCGCGGAGTGGGGTCGGGCTAGGCGCTATAAGGAGGGCCGGATCGGACCGAAATCTTATATAATCCTTACGTAAGTCATAAACCCTGCAAGAAAGGACATATTCCTAATTTGAGTAATATGAATTAAAATTTTATTTGCAAGCTAAACCCGCCTATATGCAGGCTCTGAGCTTGAAACAAAATATAAACCGTTCCCCTAATCAAGCTTCACCCCAAACCCTCTCTAAACACTTATCGATTCGCAACCTTATAACTTTTAACTTTAATCTCGAAAGCTTGAGCTAAACCCTAGACCCTAAAATCTCATAGTCATACCTTGAAAAGAACAAAGACCTCCACCGCATTTTCAACCGCGAGATCCCTGGACCATATATCATTTGCGGGGGGGAGGAGCCGCAGAGCACCTAACCATATATATATAAAGAAGAATTATAGAATTTTTTTTATTTATATTCAGAATATATAGTACGTATATTAGTAATATTAAAATTTCGGAAATTTATAATATATTTCTATTTCCAAGAATATGTTCTTTAAATTTTAGATATTCTTTTAAATTTTAAATATTATGAGATATAATGAAAATATAAATATATCAGGAAAAAGCTAGATTATAGAGAATCTAACGTATACAAGAACATTATATATAATATAATCAATATAACCCTATCTTTTAGAGAATATCTATTAAATTAAATCAAAATATATTTTTATAAATATTCATATCATAATTTCAAATATTCTTCTCTATATTTATTCTATTTCATATTCATATTCTTTTTAAGAAATATTTAGTAGATTTATTTTCTAAAATTCCAATCATTCCATTAAATTATTCAGATTATATAATATATAAATTATATAATATACTGAATATAGTACCTATAAAATGAAGAGAGTTATATCGAATAATTATTTAAGAAATGAGGCCATGAATAAAAATAGGAGGGCGGGTAGCTAGCTTATATCTGAGACGTCCGATAAATTCTCTTCAAGCTCTCTAGTTATGTCGATGATAAGGTTCGGAAAAATTCAAAGCTATGCCCGATCAGAAAAAAATCTGCGACCCCATTCGAATCTATCAAGATTGAGGTTGAGATCGGCAGACATCAGCATCTCTAAATGGAGCCCTAAGATTTTGAATCGTCGCTTGGGAAGCACCAGACGTCAGCGAAAGACTTGTCAGCATTAGCAGCTTCTGTGATACTGGCGGAGTCCGCACTACAATGCACTACATATACACATGCCATCCATCACCAGAAGGAGTGCCACGTCCCTGCACGACACAACCTGGATGATGGAGTACAACGATACAGGCGTAGTGACTTAGAGGAAGTCTCGCACAGCTAGCTGGCAATTTGCCGCGCTGCAAATGCAAGATTTCCAATTTCGGCAGCCAGCTTCCAAGTCTTGCTCTATCTAGGAGTGCCTGGAACCAAAAACAAGAATGGACAATGTGCTGGCTTGCCGAGGCCTAGGGTGCGGTTGCAGGCTTTGGCATCAGAACCGCACAGCTAATTGGTCTTTCGACCCCATGCAGGCCGAGCTGTTGAAAAGTGGATTTCGGAGAGTCTTTTCATGACTTGCTCGTGCTTGGGTGCCAAGCCGACTTCCACTTTTCAGATCTGCTCCCTACCTTAAGGTGTAACTTCAAACTGACTTTGGAGTGCCCTTACCTCACTTTACGACGGCTTCTTCTATCCGATGGGTTTTAAGTAGAGGTTCCCGGCGGGAAGTATCCGCTCCAGCCCTCTCAGCGCTTCTTACTCTGGGCAACCTTAGCTCGGATAAGTGCAGAGTGAGCCCCGGCCTCTGAACAGGCTGGAGAAGCAAGCGGAATTTGAAGCCTTCTGCGCTCGAGTGCACTTCAACACAGACAACAGTCTGATCCCAAACCGCATTGTGCTACGCGCCTCCCCCTGCGGAAGCCGACTTTGCAAGCCGAGGGGCAGGTCCATGCTCGAAAATAGGCCTTCTCGTCCTCCGTCGGTGGGCCGGCGTGGACGAAGGAGGTGCAGCGGATCTTGGTGGACTTCCACTGGCTTGCAAGGGCCGGTAGACATGCGGCACATGTACTCGGCCCTCTGGGGTTGCAGCAGGTGCTGTTGAGGTGACTGGCCTAAGCGTTGTCAGCGACTTCTGACATGTAATGTATCTTCCAATACCCAACTGTGGTAGTGGTGCTAAACATGTTATAGGGGAAAAAGATATTGTTTCCCCCCATAATATGATTAGAATCTGAACTCCCAGGCCTTAAGCCCGAGACATCGAAACAGAGGCCGTGGTGGAAGCCGTGTCCACCGAGCGCCGGCCTGGATCTTTCTGACAGCGAGAGCTGGCAGAGATTAAGGAATATACCTTAGATTACAGTAGGATCCCTAATATGATTTAAGAAATATAAAAGGATCCCTAATATGATTTAAAGTATATACAGCTGGCTGCCGGCGTCGCTTTGAATCTGCCCTTGTCCGAGACGCGACGGCGCCAAGGCCCAAGCTTGAAGGTTTGTATTCCAGGTCATCCTGGACTCTGCGAACCATAAAAAGGAGACACCGGACTTCACTTCGCCTATCCGGGCACTGGACCTGTGGCCTCAACTACACATTCACTGTTGTTCGGCTGATCCGGTAAGTCGATAAGTCTGGCTTGCTTCGACAGGGTGGGATGTGGTTTTCGACTGTCTGCAGGCGTCCGACAAGCAACATACCACAGCCAGCAGCTGTGGGTGCTAGATGCAAGGCCAGAGAGTCTAGATGGAACCCCGAAGAGTTCCAAAATGCCCAGAATGAACACTGGGACTGGAGGGGATAGAACAGTGTCAGTTCGCATCGGTCGCATGGCATCCTGGCACAAAACACGGCAGCCAACCGTAGGTCCTGGTCGAAGGAAATCGTGGACAGGAAAGGCAGATCCTTGGGAAAAAACACCGAAAACTTGTCATTTCCTCCGCCTCTACCACCATCTGCATGCAACGCCCTGCAAGGTCTTCCGGAAGTCAGGATCGAAGAAACAGCTGGGGACACGCAACGCCCTGCAAGGTCTTCCGGAAGTCAGGATCGAAGAAACAGCTGGGGACACTGCCGACACGCTCATCACAGACGGCATGTGGAACATCAGGCGGGCCTTGGCGCGTCTGCAGATCCGTTCATGTCTCCAAGTCTTGGCCAATCTTCGTCAAAGCAGGCTTTGGAGGTGTGATTTGCTGGCAGATCTGACGGGTGTTTGGCGCAGCCAAGGGCTGAGGGCAACGCAGCTTGAGCCTCCGCCAGCCACTGCCTCAGACAGGCAGGGTCTGCAGAGCCGGCAGACGATGACCGGAAAACTCTGTGCCTTTGACCTTCCTTGATTCTCGTCGAGTCAGGCTGCAGTTTGAGCTCACAGGTGGGATGCAAGTGATACATGCTGCATTCTGAATTCTTAATGATACGCAAATGTAGATATGTCACATCGACAGGGTCTTCGAACAAAGCAGGAATTTCTGTTCAAAGTCCTGATGTGCAAGCATTTTCGAGGTTCGGTTGGTCTGGGGCCCTAGCTCCAATATCATCTCCTGCGCAGTAGGATCCGGATCGATGGAGTTGAGAACCTTGCAGGAAGGACGCGTCAGGAGTCGCAGTAGCTGCCGAGCACTGCGCCGCATCATTATTCCCTAAGCATGCCAACAACTCGTAGGGCACAACATGACAGCAAGGACGGGGAAAGATCCCCTTCTTGACCTGCCAACCCACGACCCATTGACGTGTGCACAACATCACAGTCACCACCTCCTCAAATCAGTCCAACTTCAACGAACAACAAGATTACGCTGCTTCTTTGGCAGTCTGAGCCCTGCAATCCAAGGGCAGCAGCAAGTGTTTCCAGATCTGTTGCAATTTCATTGCTTAATCCTTCCGCCATCCCGATGTGAACTTCAAGTTTCAAGTCCATGCTCACGTACCTCCGAAGCCCCGCTGTGTGCTTGAATTGAATGGTAAATATCAGTGGTTGCTTAGAGCGGGATCCTGTTTCGGTCAGAATCAAAGGCCCAGTTGGCATGACAGGTCGGTCGATGCTCACCACGACCGACAAGCAACTAAATCAGATACGGAACGATGCATTAATCCATTCGCTTCAATTATGAATGGCTGCGGCACCGTTCGTGACATACCGGCAGGCCCTGACCCGCCTGGTGAATGTAGTCGCGGAAGACGGGGAAGTTGACTGGCTCCCCAGTGGTACTCAGGTTTCTGCGAAAAATGTCCTGAACAAGATATGAGAAGTAGCAGTTCTACCGCTCCGACCAAAGTCGAAACGCATAAAACAACTACAAGAAACGAGTAAAGACCAATGGTCGAATCAACTCACGTGCAGTTCGTACCACGCAGGCCACGCACAACGACCATTTCCTTGCCCCACACGCTTATACAAGAGGATCGAGAGCTGCTGTTGGAGGTGGAGGAGGTGGCGGTGGTGGCTGCGTGTGGCGGAACAACATGTTCATATGTATGCAAGCATGGTCGAACGTGTGTAGGTACGTTCGCATGTGCGTATGTATGTATGTATGTATGTATGTCTGTCTGTATGTATGTCTGTATGTCTGTGTGTCTGTATGTCTGTGTGAATGTATGTATGCATGTAGGTATGTATGTATGGATGGACATCTTCGTGTATACACTTATACAACTAGTTGAACCTTTGTAGATAAAAGACGTGCACATGTCTACGTGCATGCATGGGTATCTACGTAAGTACAAAAACGAAGTCCGATACCTTGCGCAAGATTTTTTTGTGCGATAAACGCATCTGATGCTCCTGGTACTTGCTCTTGACCGCATCCAGGTCCGCGGTTCGACCATAATGGAGCCTTACATCCCGTGACGTGAGAGAGACTCATCATCTGTGCTCTGTAAGCCGCAAGAGGGCTCAGAAATCTTGAGCTCCTGGCAGAACAATCTTCTTGTTCAGCTGAATAAGTTCCAACTCCTGAGATTCTGCGATGGAAGAATTCGCAAGGAACGACAGACGGAAAGCCAAACCAACAACGTCCTCCAAGAGCCCATTCTTGTTCAGATCGTGAGCAGCAAAGAGCTCCTCATGGGGGCTTACGTTACTACCGGCGGAAGACTGTGCGGCTGGTGGAAGGACCAAACCTCAAGCAGCGAGTCGCGACGGGGCTTGTTCATTCGGTACTTCTGGCGCTCGTCGGAGAAACTGGCCAGGTTGGTGCAGACGGCGAACACAGCAGATCCACTGGCTGTGTGCTAGCATCCCTGGCCAGTATCCTAACTTGTCCTGTCATGTCATGACATGTGGTGAGCATTGATCCCTCGCATGCAAGATCGTACTACATGTAGGAATGCCTGGGCACTTGACATCCCTGCATGGCCTCGCTTCAGCGCAATCGCATCGGGAATGGAATCCGCCTAACCCGAACTTGGTCATGCGATCTTCAGGAACTAAAGGGAAGGAAGTGAAGACAACTGTCAGGTTTGTGACAGCGTGGAATGTTTGGGAATCATGGACCAAGAATTTCTGTGAGGAAACAGTAAGCGAGGTCGGCGGGAAACGTGTGAGGAAGCCGAGAGATAGGCAACCCTGTGTGCAAAAGCTTGCAACAAATTAACAGCTCTCTCAGAGCCACTTGGCCCTTGGGCTCTGTGATGTGAGTGGTGGGGCTGACGAGCTTGGGCTGGCTCCATGACTCGATGGAACTCCGTCCCAAGCTCTTTCCGTTCTTCCTTTCTAACCTGCACATGCCTGCGACACTCCCTGGAGCTGGGTCGCGTGCATGCGTCTGAATCCAGGATAGACTGCATGAAGCCTTCGCGTGAAAGTAGACCCAATGACTAAGGAAGGTTCTTGTCGATAGCACGGTCACGGCATCTGGTGCTAACGATGGATTTCGGCAGTCATAGCTTCAAAAAACTGAGCGTCAAAGGGTTCGTGCCCGACGCCTCCTCGTAGTTTACTCGGTGGCAAGCGGCGAGCCTCTGTGCGACACAGTACAAAGCCCCAGGCTGCGAGACGTTTTCCCGTGTATTCCACAGACTGAGGCCGAAAGCCTTCGGCAGCTCGTTCTCGCCTGGGTGACATTCCAGTGCGAGGCGTGAGCCAGAAAGTTTACTAAAGCCCTACCAGTATGATTCTGATCGGTGCTTTCCACAGGAGCTGCAACCAAACCGTGTAAAGTGAACGACCAACTCAGATCGGAGCCAACACAATCGGCGATGGACGTCACGGCGCCCATGACTGCAGCCTGGCTTCCAGAGTTTGTGCTATTGCTCCCCGAATTGTCTCGGGTGTTGCTTTTGATGCTCTGTTCCTCCTTGTGTTAACAACACTTGTGCTTGCTAGCGTGAGACAACCAATTAGTGAGGGTTAGTGTTTCGCAGCAACTACGTGATGGGGATTGATGAAGTCTGCCTCAAGGCGGCTGGTTCGATGGAAAACTGGAGTTTCACGAAGGTTGCAACTCGACAACAGCCTCCCGGTACCAAAATGTAAGCCTGCAAACGCAGGACTCAGCCTTCGAGTCTTGGGCGCGGGTTCCCGAGCTCATGAGACGTCATTGCAGCTATGTCGCTTTGTCTGTCTAGCGTCCCGTAAGCACGAACAAATGCTCACAAACCCGTATTATACTTGTAAAGGCCCCACTGCTAAACCGTTTAAACTAAGGCTTGTGCTTTCCTCAGCAAGCCCTTCGAAAGGCCTATTCTAATTCTCAACTAAGCCCCGCGAAACCGCCGGAAACGCTTATGAAACGTTGTTCTACTTCTTTAGGTCCTATTCATAGTCCCGAAACCGGCATCCCCCCGAATTCTTCTTCCAGGATTCAGGATTTAGGCTTTCGGATTGGAAGTCTTAAAGGAAGTTTTAAAGACCGTCCTTGACGCAGTCCCGAAGTAGTTTAGACTGATTATGTCATGTTTTCGCTTTTTTCCACTAGAACAGCGCAGTCCGGCAAGTCCGGTTGCTTTCCTACTGTCGCAGTCCTTGAAGGTGTAGGGGGGCGCAAACCTACCACGCACCAACTGGCACGGCTAAACACCTCAAGCTCAACACAGGTTTGTTCGATGTCTAGGGTTTGCCACCGCTTGCCACTCTTCACTCCTTTCATGACTGGACAACAATAGCGACCGATGTGCCCTTGGCCTACTAACTACTAATAGATCAGCAAGGGAGACTGAAGGGTTGTAGAAGCCTTGAAGCCGTCGTCGAGTTTAGGGGTTTAGGGTGTACCGGCTAGCGTGCACATCTGCATCGACTATCTCATCACTTCCCACACTGCCACATGATTGCATGACACAGGCAAGCCTCGTTGACTTTGGAAGACGTGTCCTTGATGCAGGCTCGGCGGGCAGAAACCTAAGTGTCGAACCTGTCACAGCAACAGTAGCGTGAACCTGTCTAACGGGCTCTGAGGTGTGTAGCGGATTGCAAAAATGCGTGGTCCTACCTCAGAGCTGCAAGAGAGCGGCAGCGAGCGAAGTTATCTCTTATCCGAAGCCCCATCCAGGGACCCTTAGACTCAATCAGCTGCGTGCTTGGAGATACTCTTGCAAGCCAGGATTTGCGTATCGGCAGCAGTGGGGGAAGCTCGCCGCAGAGTCCAGCCGCCGCACCCTCCTAAGCCAAAGTATGGCAAAGACTTGAACAGTCCCATACCGGACCCTCCCCGATAAATCCCGCAAACACTGTTGGCCCTAACCCAGACCCCTCATAACATCCGGGACCAGAATGTGTCATATGCTTGGCGCCTGATGCAGCCAAGCAGAGTTCGGTCAAAGAACCTCGCTATGAAGCCACAGGCTAGAAGTGATCTCAGACAGCCATTTAACCAAGCGATACCATGGATCCCGCAAGAACTTCGCTTGCAGAGTTGCTAGCTACTCTTGTGTGAAACCTTCGAGAGTGCTCCCAGTATCACACAGGCTGCACCTTTAAGCATTCAGGCTTGTGGTAGGCTCCTCATCTTCATACTTATGTAGCTATGCCAGCTATGCGGTATCTACAGGCCATGTACCGCTAATGGATCAGGGCAACACATCGAAGTCTGTGGTCTGCTCCAGCATGGTGAAACGCTTCAGCCGTGCCAGCAGATCGCTGCCGGGGCCGCTCTCCTCAACAGAAAACTGTCGGGCGTTGGTCCGAAACTGACGCCTCCCCGGAAAGTTGGTACCGATGCTTTTCCACAAAGCCTTGGCCTCAGAGACCCCGTTCACCAGTGCTAAGGCCACCACCAGCACGGTGTCCCACGAGCCAGATTCCTCTCTGGATTTCTCAGAAGCTGCGCTCGCCCTCTCAGAATGCCCAGTGTAGCAAGAGCAGCTCTCTTGCATCCTGTCCTTCAAAGTGGCAGATTTCAAAGCTGCAGACATGGCCGGGGTGTCCGTCTGCACACGAGGCGGAGACGCGCAAAACATCACAAAACCAAACAGTTACACATCGCAGTACACATTTGAGATGCAAGGGCCATGTGCAGAAGAGCCTGGAAGCGGCTGTGCAGTTCGTAGGCTAGCTTTGCTCCTCGGGCCTTCGACACGACTGTGCCATGTCAATTAATGGCTAAGGAGAGCATCCTTCAAGAACAGCCTACCCTGCATGCTGTCTGCCGGCCTCTGATGGCCGGGAGAGCCTCCCTGAAAGGACGTGCACCTGGAGTCAGGCACTGGCGCGCACTGGCTCATGCAGCAACAACACACTCCCCTTCATGTGGTGACCGCCTGAGCTGCATCGTAGAACCTCTCCGATGCCGTTTCCCAACGGAGCTTCTCCTGCTGGGAGAACGTTTTTTTCAGCAGGTTCTCGCATTTCTGGCAACTGGGTCTGGAATCATGCGGCAGTAGAGACTTGCCAGTCAGATCACTTCGTGTTCTGCAGCTTCTCCGCGCGAACCCCAAGGGTCCTCAGCCTCAGCAGGCAGCGGCGTTGGTCCCTCTGCGCCGAGGGCAGCCTCACAAGTGGCAGAGTTGTAGTGCATCTGCTCGAAAGTCTGATTTCATGACGTTGGCCTTTCTTTCTTGCTGTTCGGAGTCTGCCTTGCTTCTGCAGATGCCTTCGAAATCCCACCGACCCACCACGATGGCCTGTAGGGCCGCTTCAAAGGAGCCAAGCTCCTGACACAGCTTCGGGCCGCAGGCTTTGGGGAGAGGGTCTACCGAAGGCCGGGAATGCGTTAGAGGACCCCAGCATTCCGCCATCGTGAGCACGCCTGCAGGTCGAAGAAATGGCATCTGTCGGCGAAGTTTGCCTGCGATCAAGAAATGATCGGAGTTAAATACCCGAGACACAAGCAAAGGCATGTTCTATGCTGAGAAGCCTTGAAGTATGCATTGGACGAATGGTCGGGCAGCACCTGTCTGTCGAGATGGAAGAAGCACACGCATGCCTGTCGTGTACTCACCCGTAAGATCCATCCCCAAGACTTACAAATGCAAGGCCGTGCTGCCAGTCGAGGCCACGACCACCCGCTTTCCAAGTGCCAGTGCCTCCGCCGTGACCGTGCCTCACAGCTTCGGCACTAATGGCTGTGGATTTTGCGCTCTGCCTTCAAGAAGACATTTGGCTCAGGTGCAGGCACAGCATCTCGGTCGTAGAAGGATTCAGGAGAACCTGCATTGCAGGAGCAACAGCTTCAGGATGCAGACGGTCAATGAATTCAAGAGCTGCCTTGTACTGGTCGAAGTGCTTGTCCGCATGGTCAAGGCCCGCAGACATGTTCATTATCCTCGGACAGGGCGAACCGAGAAGAAATGAAATGTGCTCAAGCATGCTTCTCATCATGTCAGAGTCAATGAATGTTGAACATTTTCAGCGACAGCATAACAGCCACCATGAAGTAGGACTGCTGTCTCATTTGGGACTGCCAGAGTCAGTTTGGCAAGAAACATGCATGTCCTGAGTTCCATACGGATGACCGGTCTTGCGCTCCTCGTTCAAGGTCTTTACCATTGCCTGAATCTCCTGCCGATCACATCCACGTGCTTGAACCTATGACGGCCAGACCTATACATATAGTTTTATACTCAAAAGACTACTGGAGCTGATACCGCCAGTGCTACCACACCCACCACGACTGTCTAAGGACTCCTGTGCTGCTCCGGACTGCTGCTGCCGGTTTCGGTGCTACTACTGGAACCACTCTTTGCCCAGCGATCGACGCCGCGACGATGTCGTCGAAGACGCATTCTGGTGCTCCTCCTCCTCCTCCTCCTTTTCCTGCTTCTCCTCCTACTACAGATGACTACCACTACCACTACCACCACGACGACTGGTACTACTTCTGCTGCTACCTACTACTCCTGCTACTGCTACTGC